TCCCAGTTAGGGTATATACGAAAGGCAACCAATCAATGTTTTTCCCTCTCTCCCCCTCTCTTCACCTCTCTCTAAATTTAATAAAAACATATCCTCGGGTTTAAAAAAAAAAAAGCAAACTAATTTTAAAAGTAACTTTAAAACCAGTTTTATCCTCCCTACAAAACTGCCAGGCCCAGATAGCTTCACTAATTAATTCAACCAGATATTTAAAGAATTACTACCAATTCTTCACAAACTCTTCTAAATGGAAGAGATCATTTTCCAACTCATTCTATGAGGCCAATATTACCCTGATTTCAAAATCAGACAAAGACATTAAAACTACAGACCAGTATCAATTAGAAGTAAAACTTAGCAAAATGCTAGCAAGCCTAATCCAGAAACACATAAAAAATTATTATCCACATTGACAGACTGGGGTTTATTCCAGGAACACAAAGTTAAACACCCAAATCAATCAACGTAAAAAAAAAAATCCCACCAAAAAACCAAATAACCTGTATTCTTTAAAGCAGCGATTTTCAACCATTTTTATATCATAGCACACATACTAGTAAACTAATTACTAACATTGTGTGGCACACCAAAAACCATATTATATTTTTTGCCAATCTGACAAAAAAAAAGGTATAATTTTGATTCTTTCACATCGGACAGCTATTGTTGTGTTGGCTGTTGTCATTTGTTTAACAATCTAAAGGAAAAAGTCAGTGCCCCTGACTAAATAGTCAGATATCATAGGCTTTAAAAATTCTTGTGGAAAATCACAGTTTTAAAGTATTAATTAAATTTGATACAGAATAAAAAAAAGGGTAAAGGCGGTCAAATATATGGTGACAGACATCATATAGTGAGCACACAATGGAGTATGCAGATGCCATATTATAAATTGTGCACCTGAAGTTTATATAGCCCCAAATACATTTTAAAAAATCTAATCTAAAAATCTTCTCGTTAAAAAATCCTTACATGTTTATGAATAAAATGTCTAATAAATGTATATGAGCAAAAAGGTTGATTCAGAATAAAATATGATTCTTATGAACCTTAATTGACATCCTATACTTTGTATTAGGTCCTGTTTGAAGTTTTACTATTAATAAGTAAAGCTTCTTTGAGCAATGTTAAAAAACAAACAAAAATCTAGATTTGCTTCTATCATTCCTAGAACAAATCTATAGGTACCAACATAAGACTGTGCTTTATGACTGACTCTATGATTTGTTATGTCATAAGCTGTTGGGGGGGCTTGCTTGTCTCTTCAATACTAACAATATAAAAGTAATTGATACTATTTCAATTTAATAAAGATAAAGAAAAAATCAATTAACATGATATACCATACCAATAAAAGAAATGATCATCTCAATAAAAGCAGAAAAAGCATTTGGCAATATCCCACATCCTTTTATGATAAATATGTTCAACAAACTAGATATGAAAGGAATTTCCTGTATCTGATAAAGAGCATCTACAAAAAAACCCCTGGCTAACATAATATTTAATGGTGAAAACTGGAAGCTTTCCCCTAAGATCAGAACAAGATGAGGATGTCCACTCTCACCATGTCTACTCAACACTGTTGGAGATGCTGGCCAGGGCAATTAGGCATCCAGACTGAGAAGAAAAAAAACCAGTATCTATTTCTATTTTCAGGTGACATTTTGAACACATAAAATCCTAAGGAATCCACTAAAAACTATAAGAATTAGTAAATGAATTCAGCAACGTTGAAAGATTCAAGATCGATATTCAAAAATTAATTGTATTTCAATCACTTGCAATAAAGAATCCAAAAAGAGCCCTAACTGTTTTGGCTCAGTGGATAGAGTGTTGGCCTGCAGACTGAAGGGCCCCAGGATCAATTCCGGTCCGGGGTATGTACCATGGTTGCAGGCACATCCCCAGTAGGGGGTGTGCAGGAAGCAGCTGATTGCTGTTTCTCTCTCATCGACATTTCTAACTCTCTATCCCTCTCCTTCCTCTCTGTAAAAAATCAATAAAATAAATTTAAAAGAAAGAAAAGAAAACAATTCCACTTAAAATTTTAAAAAAGAAATTAATGATTTTAACTTAAGCATTAAAAAAACAATGCCAAACTTAAACTCTGGAAACTTAAAATATCACTGAAAGAAATTAAACATCTAAATAAACTGAAAGACATCCATGTTTACTGATCAGAAGATAATATTAGGATGGCAATACTCCCAAAATTGACCTGCAGTGATGGTGAACCTATGACACGCGTGTCAGAGGTGACACACGAACTCATTTTTTTGGTTGATTTTTCTTTGTTAAATGGCATTTAAATAAATAAAATAAACATCAAAAATATGTCTTTGTTTTACTATGGTTGCAAATATCAAAAAATTTCTATATGTGACATGGCACCAGAGTTAAGTTAGGGTTTTTCAAAATGCTGACACACCGAGCTCAAAAGGTTCGCCATCACTGACCTAGAGATTGAACACAATCTCTTTAAAAATACTAGCTGGCTCTTTACAGAAACTGACAAGCTCATCCTAAAATTCTTAAGGAAATTCAAGGGGCACAGAATAGCCAAAATGTTCTTGAAACAGATGAGCAAAGTAGGAGTACTTCCCAATTTCAAAATTTATTACAAAGCTACAGTAATCAAGAGAGTGAATACTGGTGTAACTATAAACATACATATCAATAAAATATAATTGCGAGTTCACAAATAAACCATTATATTTACAGCTAAGTGATTTTCATTAAGGGTGATGAAACAATTCAATGGCAAAACAACAGTCTTTTCAACAAATGCCACTGGACAACTGGATAGCCTCATGTAAAAGAATAACACTGGACCCCTATCTCATACTACATATAAAAATTACCCCAAAATGAACCAAAGACTTAGGTAAGAAACTAAAACTATAAACCTCTCAGAAAAAAACATACGTATAAATCTTCATGACTTGGAATTAGCAATGGTTTCTTAGGTACGTACCCAAGAGAACTGAAAACATGTGACCGCCACAAAAACTTTTACACATGTTTATAGCAGCATAATTTAAAATAGCCAAAATTTAAAACAATCCAAGTGCACATCAACTGATGACTGGATTAAAAAGAAATGTAGTATATCCATACAATGGAAAAGTATTTGGCAATGAATAGGAATGCATAACTGACACATGATAAAACATAAATATTGAAAACAATATGCTAAATGAAAGAAGCCAATCACCAAAGACCAAGAATTATATGATTTTGCTTATATGAAATGTCCAGAGTAGGCAAACCTATAAAGATATAAAGTAGAAATTAGCTGCCCAGAGCTGAGAGGAATGGAGGAAGTTGAAAAGTGGTTGCTACAGGTTACAAAGTTTTGTTATGGGGTGATGAAAACGGTCTATACTTAGACTGTGGTAATGGCTGTAGACCTCTGTAGACAGACTAAAAACCAGTGAAGTACACCTTGAGATGGTATGTGAAGTGTGTCTTGATAAAGCAGCCACCAAACAAAAACACACACACACACACAAAACCAAGTAAACAGCAGAAGTTATCTCAAGAGAGAAGATTTAGAGGCGCAGAGATACGGAAGTGTATTTCTCTTTGAAAAACGTAATTCTGTAGCATTACTACCATGCTAAGATGCTCATTATTCCCTTATCTTTTAGAAGGACACATGTTATTAAAGGCAGAAGAAGACCTTTAGTTTTTGGTCCTTTAATTCTTCTTTAAAAAATAGAAAATTTTTGAGTATGCAAACACTAGTTACTTTTTGCCCCTTTTTAAAAATAAATCTTTATTGTTGAAAGTTGCCCCTTTCTTCTTGAAAATCATATTTTGAGTATGTAGCTAAAAATTACGTAATACATCTGGATACTGTCAGATATCCATTATCTATGAAATGAGGCAGATATGAAGGAAGAATAGAAGGTTCACGGTTTGAAGTTTGAAGTGTTTCCCCTTTATCCATACTTAGATATTTAAATACGATGCTTATTTTTTGCACCTCAGTTTCCTCTTCTAAAAATGGAGCACAACCTTTGATTAAAATCACTCTTATAAAAATACAGGTTTCTCAATATCCCTAAATACTGTCTAGATTACCATAAAATTCAAAAAACAGGACAGCAGCTAAGAGGTCCATAACTCTAAGTCACCTGGATCTACAAGGGCAATAAGAAATCCCTCTAGCTTAGTCAAACATGTTGGTCTGGTGCCTCAGAAAGATACTGAAGTACCATTTACAAATAATTAAGAAAGGCATACAAAAAGATGGGAAATAAACTAAAATGCCTAAAAACACAAAATGATTAAAATAATTATATATTTGAAATAAAATAAAATGTTAAATTTATACAAAGATGTTATTCTGTTAAATACAGATCACCAGTGGATATCATATGTTACTTTTTATAAAATTAGAACAATCTTCAAAATTGTTAAATTGTTAAGTTCTTTTGCTAGCTATTTTGGCATGTCTAGCAAAAAAGTAATATTACTACTACTTTTCTCAGGATTATAATTCAAGAATGGCATGTGACTAGCATTCTAACCTATTTTCAAATCACTTAGGACATGCTGTTACTTTAAAAATTCAAATATATAGTTAAGTTGATGAAAAAACATTGGGCTTAGATTTATTTATGGGATTTCCTATAAACCTGACTCTATTTCCATTACCATTTATCATTTTGTAAGAAAGCTAAATTTCAGACTACCTACAGGATAAATGTTTCCAAACTCTGTATAAGCAATCATAGTGGGTCCTCTGACCTTAAATCAAGGAAAACATCCATTTCTAGTTAAAATCTAAAACTCACCACACTTTATTATGCTTCAAATACAGAGTAGAATCTCTCTTTGAAACCACAGTTTCCACTTGCAAAGTACTTTTCCTTATTCTGACAGTTTGATTAAAATTTACACAGACCTAAAGGGCTCCGGCTGAAGAACAGTGCCTTCAAAGCATCTAAAAGTTCACAGCAATTACTTTTCCACAGAGCAACTGTACTTACATCAATATCCTCTTGCGTAAAAGTTTCTGGATCTTCTCCCATCATGTTGGCTAAATGTCTCTTCCCTATGTTGAACTCCTCAATCTGCTTTTTAATAAAATCCACTGTGTAGGTTTCACGTCTTAAGACTTTAACATTTTTCTTTGTTGTTACAACTGTGACATGTTTTAGCCTCAATATCTAGCAGAAAATATATGTGGAAAGAAAAGAAAAAAAAATTTATATTAAACAATGATCTGTAGGCCATTGTCTCTAAATAAAATGGGATATTAAATAGTTGTCTTCTTTTTTTTTATTGCTTAAAGTATTACAAAGGGTATTACATATGTGTCCATTTTTTCCCCCCGCCCTAGACAGTCCCCTAGCCTCCCCTATCCCCCAGTGTCTTATGTCCATTGGTTATGCTTATATGCATGCATACAAGTCCTTTGGTTGATCTCTTACCCCCCTACCTCCTGCCCCCCAACCCTCCCCGGCCTTATTATAGTACTCAGTTGGCAGGAATCTGCAAACAAGGTAAAAGGCCTGTGAAGGAAGCTGTTAGAATTGTCCCTTGCTCAAAAGCTTGTTTTTTAAAGCCTATGCTTACAAAGTAGTTTAAATTATTAGCATTTTAACACAATAAAAACAAAAATACTACCCACATTCATATTTGATACTGATCCATTAACTTCAGCTACTTGTTCATGGGTTTGATTCCTGGTCAAAGGCACATACCTCAGTGCGGGTACCTCGGTTATGGTTACCTTGGTTATGGTTCTCCTGGCTGGGTGTGGATGGGAGGCAACCAGTCAATGTGTCTCTCACATCAATGTCTCTGACTCAATATCCCTCTCCTCTCTCTCTCTCTCTCTCCCTCATCCATTCCCTAACCCTTTGAGAATCAGAGATTCAAATAACTCTATAGTAATTTGTCACCACAGTTACAATAGAAAAGGAAAAAATATTCAGGACAAATATTAAAATATCCAATTAATAGAAAAATTATGTTCCAAACTCTCACAAATTTAAAATGATAAAATAGTTTCTTATTATTCTTTGATGAGTAAGAAAGAGCAATTTAAAACTCCATGGAACTTTATAGTTCACTTTTCCTTGGGAAAGCACAGAGCGGTTTCTCTTGGTGTTTATATGAATAGACAACTGTTTTCTTACAATGCTCTATGAAGACACAATGTTACTACCAATGAGTAAAACCATGACCCAAACTGGCTTATGTATATATATAGTTAGACTGCCCTTTTATAGAGAGCCCGTTTTCACACCGCTGCTACCTCTCCCCACAGCCAAGTGCCACCAGCCCCAATTCCCTATGTCAATAATTTTATCATCTTCTCCCAGGCTTTTCTTTAGATCCCACTGTCTTCTCTGAACAGTGGAGAAAGTTACTTCCCATACTCAAAGTGAAAATGCTTTTCTGCCCCAAGAGACATGGTAAAAGGTATGAATTTGGGGGATAAAAATAACAGTCAGAGTAGAGCTAATTCTTCCAAATGTTCATTGCCAAAATGATTACACTGCTGGTGTTGTAAATAATATGACAAATGTTTTTGTCTATAGCTAAAACAATCCATTCATAATACAAACAAATCCACTATGGCTCCCACCAATCACCAACCACAACCCTCAGGAGGAGAAAAGGAGTCTTCCAGTGAACATGGCTCCATTCACTGACATAATGAATGCTAGAGGAAGAACATTAGGGAGGAAAGGGATGTGTTCCATTTGGGCATGATGGGTTCCAGATGCCTACAGGCATCTCAGGAGAGGGGTCTAGGAGGCAGGTGTGTGTGTGTGTGTGTGTGTGTGTGTGTGTGTGTGTGTGTGGCACAGGGAAGATCTGAGCTAGAGATATGGTATGTTAATCACATAGGACATGAAGCAGGGGAAATGGCAGGCATTAGTGTTCCAATGAGAAACATCTCTTCTATGCAAAGAAGCAAAATAGTTTGTGAGGGTGAGTAGGTGGAGAAGTAAGGTTACTTATAACTTCTGGCCACTATTTTCTTTTGTGAGATAGGTCATGAGGTGGTCTATAGGGTAAGAAGTGATAGGTTTGACGGACTGCACACTTCATATCCAAAGAGTGGTTGTAAAGGATAGACAGAGCAAAGGGGGGGAAAGTAGGAAAAAAAACAACAGAACTTATATGACTATTTATACTGAATATTAGCCAAGGGAATAATATCAAAAAAACAGAAATCTATATGGTTTACACTATGTGCAAATTTTTTTCACCAGTTATATTTTTGCTTCCTACATATTTCCTTTGTTTCAGTGGTATACTCAATGCACTACTTAGTTCAGGAGAGTTTTATCTGAAGGCAGACTGTACCCTTCAGCATTATAAAGTGTGCCATTCTCACATAACGCTTCTATCCTGAAATCAGTTCTACTGAGTCACAGTACTGCAACTCTATTTTAAACTCCCATTAGCACTACCCTTGAATATCATTGCCCATACTTTTTATTTAAATTTAGTCATCTTAGGTTTTGTTCTTTTGGCCCAATATGAGTTTTTTAAAAATATGAGATTATCCCATTTAAGTGGGCTTTAATAGATATTGTCTTATTATCTTATTTTATCTTTACATTTTTTATGCTTCCTTCCTGTTTTCGTTCTTTTGCTATATGGTCTGCGCTTTTTAAAATTCATCTTTTGATCTGGCAATTTAGACAGTACATAGCCTGTTTTTATTTTACTAGTTTTCATCCACGTCTCTGAAAAAATGTTTAAACATATTTCTCCTACCAACTTCAGCAATAAAATACCCAATGAACTCTTCACCAACTTAATCTCCCTTTTCAATCACAGTAATTATCTATTATTCTGTCTTATTGGCCCTTTTTTCTGCATTCTGTATGATTTATAAACATTTACTCCTTGGTTTCTTGGTGTGTATTTTCCCCCTTTCTCTGCAGTGCCAATTCTGCAGTCATTCTGAGTTTATTAGCTTCTTACTATATATCATTAGTCCACCTTCAAAATTCTTTCCATAAGTTTATTTTAATCATATCTGTTTCACAGAACTCTCCCTCACCCAACATTTTAAAAAATGTTCCTGGTACTGTTAAGTAATTAAAATAACTTCCATTTTGTTGAGTAAATGTTCCTTTGTCTTTTCTTTATCTTTTCCCTCTTTTGTTCCTACATTTTAGCATCATCTCAAATAAAAGAGTTAATTGTTGGCCAGAAAACTCAATTCTTCACTTGATTTAAAATTACTTTTTGTGCTGGCTGGTTTGGCTCCATGGATAGAGCATCAGTCTGTGGACTGCAGGGTCCCAAGTTCGATTCCTGGGTTTTGGGCTCGATCCCCAGTAGAGGGCATGCAGGAAGCAGCTGATCAATGATTCTCTCTCACCATTGATCTTTCTTTCTCTCTCTCTCTCTCTCTCTCTCTGCCTCTCCCTTCCTATCTGGAATCAATAAAAATATAAAATTACTTTTTGTCTTTCTCTATTCTCTGGAGTTTGTGACATGAGGTAGTAGCTTATGTACTTTTAACATAAATGAGATTTTAAAAAGGTCTGTAAAGTGTTTATTGTTGTTCATAAAGGGTTTTTTCTTTAACATACTCCTAATTTGCTATTTTTCAAACAATCTCTTTAGGACCTTTTAAAAAACATTTGTACATATTGCTGAAGATTATGACTAAGTTACAAAGCCATCATAGCATCAGCACCAGACTACTAAATATATTTATTAAATGTTGTGAATTATTTCAGCAACGAATTCACACAAAAAATACTTACATTCAAAGGCATCCATTATTCATCAGTACAAACCATCAAGTAAGATGAGGCTTCAAGCAAACCGACTAGACCTTTAGCTGAGGACAGTAAGAATTCCTGGAAAGATTCTGGTTTGCCACTAAGTACAACTCCCAACGAAATTTTCTGCAGGTTCTATTTCCATCTGAGAAGCTATGACAGAGAATTTCCCTCAGACTTTGTTTTCATGGAACTGTATTGATACAACTTGACAGATATGTTTCTTTTTAAAGATAATCAGTATGTCAGGCAACTGTAATTTTAATCCAGCAGGTTGCCAAAAAAGCAGACACATACTGACAAAGCAGTGATGTCCCAAATTTGGCCAAATGCCAGTGCTGCACACTACCTTAATGGTATTACAGAAGAATTAAGTATTTTTTCAATTGGATAAAAATGGAACAAAAAGAATCTGTTGCTAATTTGAATAGAAAAGGCAAAAAATTACTTTGAAGAATAAAAGAAAAGGTAAAGACATATACAGATTAAAGAAAATATGTACAAATGTAGGATATTACAACCTCCAAGAGCCCATAAGATGAGAGATGAGAAAAACAGATACTTAAGACAAAGAGCAATGATTCTATGATAAAAAAACAAAATATACAAGGTCTAAGCAACCATATGCCATTGATCATTCTGGCAGACAGTTCAATTCAACAAGAGCATACTGGCTCAGTAAAAATGGAAAGTTCAAGCACTAAGAAAGTGCTTAGTAGAAAATAAAAGTAAGAGGGAATATTACCAAAATTTTGTAGTAATATTTTTCAAAACAGAAATTGGTCTACTGCTTTTCCTTTTTATAAATAATAAATATTATAGCAAGCTAAATTAGCATTCCTAAATTATATTGATACATGATTTAAGAATCCATGGGTAACCTTTATAGGACACCAAAACTGTAAACTGCTCATAATATACTAGAGGCCCAGTGCACAAAATTTGTGCACTGGGGAAAGGGGTCCCTCAGCCCAGCTTGCACCCTCTTGCAGTCCGGGAGTCCTCGGGGGATGTCCACCTGCAGGCTGACATCCCTCTCGCAGTCTGGGACCCCTCGCTCCTAACCGCTCGCCTGCTTGCTTCTAACCACCTGCCTGCTCACTCTTTACCGCCCACCTGCTTGCTCCTTACTGCTTGGCTCGCCACTCTTCGGTGCTGCTGCAGAGGCAGGAGAGGCTCCCGCCACCACTGCTGCTCTCACCAGCCATGAGCCCGGCTTCTGGCTGAGTGACGCTCCCGCTGTGGGAGAGCACTGACCATCAGGGGGCAGCTCCTGCACTGAGTGTCTGCCCCCTGTTGGTCAGTGCGCATCATAGCAACCAGTCATTCCACCGTAACGGTCGCTTAGGCTTTTATTATATAAATAAAAATGTAATATATGAGAGATTTTTAAAAATTTTCAAGTT